AAAAATTAAACACTTTTTTATAATATTTAGGTAAACATATGTATAAACCGGCACCCTTACACCTTATTGGCTACTTAACTTTATTCCAGTCCCTGAGCATTTAGTCAAGAGACAGAGGTACCATGCCAGCTCGTTTTGCCAATTCATTCATTGCTCTCAATTTCCTCATTTAAAAAAAAAATGAGGGGCACCTGGGTGGCTCAGTGGGTTAAAGCCTCTGCCTTTGGCTCAGGTCATGATCCCAGGGTCCTGGGATCGAGCCCCACATCGGGCTCTCTACTCAGCAAGAAGCCTGCTTCCCCCCTCTCTCTGCCTGTCTCTCTGCCTACTTGTGATCTCTGTCTGTCAAATAAATAAATAAAAATTTAAAAAAATGAGATTTGGATTTAATTTCTGAAATCTAGCTAATGTAACTCACGTGATTCAGGCTTATCAATTAAGTCACTAAGCCTCGAGCAATCTAGGATGGGTAGTTAAATTCACTTCATAATAAGGCAGGTGAGAAATACCTGCTTTGGAAGGTTTTCTGGGCTACGACCTGGACTAGAACCAGAAATGGTTTCAAGGATCTTGAACCAAACGGGATACCGACTAGATGTTTGCGGCCGTTCACGCCTGCGCAGTGAAGAGGCGGCTGAAGCCCCGCCTCCCGCAGGGTCTGCGGATTCCTTGGCGCCAGGCGGGCCTCCAGCCGCGCCGCGGGGGAGGGCGGGGAAAAGGGGAGGAAGTGGTCGGTGCCCACCGCAGGGCCACGCCCGGGGCTGGAGAGGCTCAAGCCGGAAACCTGAGCGCTCTAGAAGCCGGCTTCCGGCAGCGGTCCCAGAGCGAGCCCGGCGGCGACCCGAGACAAGGTCGGCGCTCGGCGCGACGGCGGTTACACCTGTGCCGTCGCAACCAGGGCCCGGATCCAGGGCACAGATTTGACACTTGATTCGTTGGGGTCACTTTGGGAATCGACACTCAAGTAGTTCTCCCTGGTGATAGGATGGCATAGGGAAGCCCTGGGAACGTAGAGCCAGAGCTGGAGGACTGGGGCTCACCTGTGATCTGGTACCCACCTGTGGCCACTCCCCAGCATCTCACAGCGCCAGGCTCCAGGCCCAGGGGCACGCCTACCTCTCCCCGTCTCCCTTTCTCAAACCTGGGCTGCGGCCACCAGCCCAACTTTCCCTGCAGCCTTCCAGCTGGAACCTTGACCAAAGGTTCTGCAAAAACCCTTTTAGGCTAAAAAAGAAAAAAAATTTTTAAAAAGGGTGGTATGTTTTAACTTGAATTTTATCAAAAGCACAGGTAGACTTTGGGAGGTGTGGAAAGAGTCATTCTCTCAGCCCAGGACCACTTCAGCCAGTCATCTCACATTTATTCTGCTGGTTACTGATTTTTTGCCTCTGGGCTCCAAATTCATCCTTTTGGTAATGGATGGAATGCCTTTAGATCATTTCTTCTTGAGAGTGTTAAGCACAGTGAAGTTTTCTCAGTAGATGGTGCTGTTAGGATACTCTAGGAAGAATGGGGCTTTTCCTGCTCTTTCCAGTGGCCAAACCATAGATGACAAAACTTTGGTGGCACCCTGCCCCAGTCATGCACCCAGAATACAAGCTCCATCAGTCACCTCACAGCCCCAGCCCATGTCTGGCAATCATTTCCCACAAGGCTCCAAGGACCGCCCTCCCTCCCCCCAAATTGGTGCCCTGACCCCCTCTGTACACTCAACATATCTGGCCACCAGCTGTGGCTCACCTGCAGTTGTCCCCTGCTTCTCAGGCCACACCAGCTCTGGCCTGTGCAATCCAGCAAATTTCTCTATCCAGTAGACTACAACTCTGCATTTTCTTTCTTTTTTTTTTTTTTTTTTGAAGATTTTATTTATTTGACAGAGATCACAAGTAGGCAGAGAGGCAGGCAGAGAGAGAGGGGGAAGCAGGCTCCCCGCTGAGCAGAGAGCCAGATGCAGGGCTCCATTCCAGGAACCTGAAATCATGACCCGAGCCGAAGGCAGAGGCTTAACCCACTGAGCCACCCAGGCACCCCAACTCTGCATTTTCAAAGAAGATCTGAGCCTTAGGGGTGCCTGGGGTGGCTCAGTCGGTAAAGCGCCTGCCTTTGGCTGGGGTCATGATCCTGGGGTCCTGGGATTGAGCCCCGCCTTGGGCTCCCTGCTCAGGGGGAGCCTTCCTCTCCCTTTCCTGCTGCTCCCCCCCCCCCCCCCCGCCTCCCCCAAACCCTCCACACCGCTTTTTCTTTCCCCTCCTCAAATAAAATCTTGGGAAAAAAAAAGAACTGAGCCTCAGCTTTGGGGAGGTGGCCTCTCTTCCAAGGGTGTCTCTCCCTGGATACGCTTCCTCAGCTCTAGAATACCATATTTAGTTCTATTATTTTCCTTTTTTTAATTAAAAAGTTTTTTTAAAGTAGGCTCCATGCCCAATGTAGGGCTTGAAATCACAACACCAAGATCAAGAGTCGCTTGCTCCACTGACAGACCCAGCCAGGTACCCATTCTATTTTTTACTTATTACACCTTGACTTTTTTTTTTTTTTTTTTAAGTAATCTCTACATCCAATGTGGGGTTTAAACTCACAACCGTGAGATCAAGAGCCACAAGCTCTTTTGACTAATCCAGCCAGGTGGCCCAGCTTGACATTCTTTATATTCCACTTTCTCTGATAAAACCATTGTGTAGTTTGTCTTCTGATAGGAGCCAACCAGTTCGATAACACTTAATCAGTTGATGTCCAGCAGTGTTCGGGGCAGGAGCGAGACAGACAAGGTACTTGCTTTTGAGCTTATATTCTACAGAGGTTGTTTACTAATACCTAACTCACCAGACAGACTGAGCCATACAAAATTCTGAGGCAGAATACTTTTTTTTTTAAGATTTTATTTGACGCAGATCACAAGTAGGCAGAGAGGCAGGCAGAGAGAGAGAAGAGGGGGGAAGCAGGCTCCCTGCTGAGCAGAGAGCCCAATATAGGACTCAATCCCAAGACCCTGATATCTTGACCCCAGCCTAAGGCAGAGTCTTAACCCACTGAGCCACCTAGGCGGCCCTGAGGCCGACTATTCTAAGCACAGGGGTACAAGTGCAAAGCACCTACTAATAATGAAGTGTTTGAGAATTAGAAGGCTCAGCGGGGCTAGACTTCTGTAAGCAGAGAAACAAGAGATGAAGTTAAGGAAACGTTTTAGGTAGAGTAGCCCTAAGATATTTTTAGGGGGTTTTGATAATGAATGAAAGCAGTATATACTCTAAGTATTACTCCAGGGTAACAGGACTCAGCTAGGATGTATGGTCACCAAATTTACAGGTCATAGTAAGGGAGTCTGGATGCCACTTTAAGTGTGACAAGATGTAATCAGGCTTTAAGCAGAGGAGTGACACGATCTTTTTGTTTACTCTGGTTATTGGAAAATGGACCGAGAGAGCAAAAATGGAAAAAGGGACTTGATATTCCCACAATTATGGAGAATATGGTGCAATCCCCAAGCTCTTTCAGGACATTCAGGGTTTCTTTCATTCTCCTTCCTCCTAACAGAGTACCGGTGTCATGATTACGTTTGCCGGCAGGAAGGCTTGTCAGAGCTCATGCCTGGGCCAAATAGAAATAAAAAAGGAGCCATTCAGGTAACTTTAGTAAGGATAGGGAATGTAAGGAAGGGAATGTCAGAATGTCAGTCCATAAATGAAGGCATGAAGTTGTTAATGAGTGCAAGTGGGTGTGTTTTCTTGTCTAAAAGGAAGTTAAGGGGCACCTGGGTGGCTCAGTGGATTAAAGCCTCTGCCTTTGGCTCAGGTCATGATCCCAGGGTCCTGGGATCGAGCCCCGCATTTGGCTCTCTGCCTGCCTCTCTGCCTACTTGTGATCTCTGTCTGTCAAATAAATAAACAAAATCTTTAAATAAATAGGGTGCCTGGGTGGCTCAGTGGGTTAAGCCACTGCCTTCGGCTCAGGTCATGATCTCAGGGTCCTGGGATCGAGTCCCGCATCGGGCTCTCTGCTCAGCGGGGAGCCTGCTTCCCTCTCTCTCTCTCTGCCTGCCTCTCTGCCTACTTGTGAACTCTGTCTGTCAAATAAATAAATAAAATCTTAAAAAATAAATAAATAAATAAATAAATAAATGGAAATTAAGAAATGTAAACTAAAGCTGATTTTGTTGAAACCAAAGCAGAATTTAAAAAGCCTATGATGTCCTATGTACATTCAGAGTTTTTATTTCAAAACAAAGAACCACAGTAACATTAATAATAGAAAATACATTTGCAAATATTCACAATCTGGTCACCGAGAAATGGGAAAACTTCCACACAGCGTTACTGCCAACCCACTGTTTTTTTAGTCTTCAGAAGCAGAGGGGTGGTTAAAGTCACCTGGTCAACCAAGCCCCATTCCATAGAAGCTCTTTGAGTTTCTTTTCCATAGGATGTGACCAGGGGTAACAGTGAGAACTGGTGACTAAAATACTGTTAAGGGCAAGGGTTTGGCTAAAGGGTCTGAAATATGTTAAGCACCAAGGAGAGAAGGGTGATCAAGCAACATATGAAAGAGGGAAGACAGAGTAGGTGTCATGGGGCCGAATCTTCATTTATAAAAATACTGGGAAACTAGATGATTTGTAGAGGTGTCCATGACCTGAGGCAAGCGTACATCCCTCCCTCCACCTTGTCTGACTCTAAAATGCTCTACAGTTAGAAGTCTTCACTTTGTTTATTACCCCCTTAAAAGAAAGGCTCCCTCTCTCCTCCCACTCCCCTCCAAGAGGCCATATGTTCTGATCTCACACTTTCCTTTCCCACTGCCACTGTGTGGGTATAGAGGGAGGCAGAGTCCTCCACCCTCCATCTCAAGATTTAAGGTGTTCTCCCCCAATTGCCCGACAAGGAAAATTAGCCAGATGAGCCTGAACTCTGAAGTCTGGAATAAAACTGTAGATACAAATTCTACCCAGCAAAGGCAGTGTTCATATATATATATATATATATATATATATATATATATATATGGAGATGAGTTTGAATACCTTTTATTCAAAGGGGGGCTGTAGGAACAAAGGCGCAAGTTACCAGTCATCTACTCCCACCCAGAGCAAAGTGACAGTGCACATACATTCATACTCTCTCAAGTGTGGGCTACACTGCACATTTACTCATACTACCCCAAATGTACGGTCCCCTAAGGGCACCTGCCGTCACACTATGCAAATATGGTAACAGAACAAGCATGCGACGACCCTAAGCAGTAACATACTTAACTAGGTAATAATCGTTCAGGAAAAATCCTCTCCCAGAGCTGAGGTTACAAGTTCCAAGTTAGTTTATGAACATTCTCCTCTGAATTCTTTTAAAGCTATGGCTTAAATATAATTAAAAATCAACAACTAAAATCTTCTAAAGAACAAAATGGAGAAATACAGAACCTCTACCAAGAACCACTATTTTGGGCTTTTCATTTGGAAGGTTCTCCTACCAGGGGGGTGTTAGGAATACTTAAAACACCCCCCACCCCATGAGTCTGCAACAAGGGGAAGTAGTTTTGTCCAGTGAGGGGAGAAAGATTTCTAGAAATAACCTTCCCTTCTCTGGACTCCAACCAAAGTTAGAACCCACCCACCACCATTAGCTATAATGCCCATCTTAATAATAACCCTAGGTTTCAAGTAATACTATATATAATTTTAAACAAAGAAACAAGTTCGAAAAGTAACCAGTAGCTTCTTAATACAGGCACATGACTTTTCTGAGAAATTAAACTTTATAGTTTTCACCTGAAGGTTAAGAGGCAACGTGCAGACTTCACACACCCCATCACATACCCTCTGAGAACACATTACGCTTCTCCCTGAATCTGCCTATTGCACCTCGACCTCTCTCTCCAGCATCGCATCTTCTACCCTATAACCTCTCCTCAAGCGCCTCCCTCTATCCTCAATTTCCTTATGTTTTCATTATTTGGTAAAATTATTTTACACTTAAAAAAATAAATATTTATGCAATAAAACCAGAAGATTAAATAAATAAACTCAAGTTAATTTGCTCTGCAGAGCTGTATGGAAGCAAGGAAGGTGCTCTTATTTAATCCCTTTCTGCCCTCCACACTCATGTACATCTGCTTCCTGAAAGTCTGGGATCAGGGAAACTGCACCTCACTCTTACTCCCCCCTACTGGCCCTCACGAGGCCCTGTTAGAACCCAAGGGAGGAAGAGCTGGCAATGTTGTCATATGGCAAGCGGCCAGTTCCTCCTGAAATGAAGGTAGGTTCACTTGGTCTCTCCTCAACAGAAGAGAAAATGTCCAAGAAATGAAATGTTTCGAAAGCCACTGAAGATACTAGCTCCAGCACTGGGTTCCTCTGAGTACTCATGGAGTGTGTGGGAAGAGAAAGGAATCAAGTAGCAGCATTCAGAAACAGTCCTGGGTTACAACCTGATGAGGTCTCTCCCTCATCTGGGGGAGAGGTGGCTTTTCCATGTTGGGAGGGAGGCGGGAAGGAGGCATGGCTTAGACAGTGGCAGTCTCCTTCACTGGCTGGATGCTGTTCATCTCCACGATGGGGCCCTTCTCAGCTCTGTTAGCCTCCCGTGCCTGCCCTTCAAAGGCTCGTGTGATTTCCTCAAAAGTCCTGCCACGGGTCTCAGGGACTTTGAAGAAGGTGAAGACCAAGAAGATAATGAGGAAGCCAGTGAAGATGATAAAAACATAGGCTCCTAGATAGAACTAGTGAAAAGATACCAAAAAAAGAGTGTCAGTGTAAATTCTGATCATTGCCAAACCTCTCCTTCCCATCCATTTCTAGGAGGCTTCGAGGCACAAGCCTTCCACATTTAACAAGAACACGGAGTCTTCTTTGTGTCTTTAAATGCCACTGCTCACTTACTTTATCTCTAATCCTGTGTCATTCCTTTTCCCATTCATTAAAGATCCCTATCTGCTCCCAAATACCTATTGAGTATTCCAGGACATTTTTTAAAAAAGGTTTTATTTATTTGTCAGAAAGAGGAGAGAGAGAAACAGAGTGTCTGCACAGGAAGGGGAGAATGGCAGGTAGGAAGAGGAGGTGGCTCCCCACTGACCAAGGAGCCGGATACAGGGCTGGATCCTAGCTCTGGGATCATGGCCTAAGTTGAAGGCAGATGCTTAACTGACTGAGCCCCACCCAGGGGCCCTAGGACTTCTGATTATTTTAAAAATCCGGGTTTCAAAAAAAAAAAAAAAAAAAAAATCTGGTTTCTGAAAGACTCACAGATATAGGAAATGCATTCCATGTCCACTGCAAGTACATTTATTTAAGGAATCAGCTCCAGGTCATTTTATAATAGGATCTCATTCATTCATTAATATCCTATGATTATTAATGAGTCTTTAAGGTCATGAGATCATAAATGCCAGCTAATTCAAACTGTGGATTTAAGTGTTGTTCTGGAATCCTTTGAGACTGATCATGATCACTGTATCTAGACAGAACTATTCCTGTAATCACCCCAGACCAGCGGTCTTTTCAAATTTCCCAGTACTGGGACACCCGACTGCCTCAGTTGGTAGAGTGCGTGACTGGATCTTGGGCTCATGAGTTCGAGCCCCAAGCTGGGTGTAGAGATTTTTAAAATTAAAATAAATAAAAATGTCCAGTTTTGGGGCACCTGGCTGGCTCAGTCATTAGAACATGTGACTCTTGATCTCCATGTCTTGAATTTGAGCCCCATGATGGGGGGGTAGAGTTCACTTTAAAAAAAGAGAGGTCCCCAGTTTCCCAGTTTTGCCCTCCTGCTTCAACCTTTTTTTTGCTACCATTCCTTCCTTTTCTATATGCCATTGAAAATGAGAAGAAAATCTGGTTTAAAACACTTGACATCTGGGGCGCCTGGGTGGTTTAGTTGGCTGAGTGTCCCAATTCTTTATTTTTCGCTCAGGTCCTGATCTCAGGGTCAGGAAATCAAGCCCCAGGTCAGGCACAATGCTTATTAGCAGTGTCTACTTGAGATTCTCTCCCTCTTCCTCTGCTCCTCCTCTTCCCACAATCTCACTCTCTAAAATAAATAAAATCTAGGGACGCCTGGGTGGCTTGGTTGGTTAAGCGTCTGCCTTCAGTTCAGGTTATGATCCCCTGGTCCTGGGATCAAGTCCCACAGGGAGCCTGCTCCCCTCTCTGCCTGTTACTCTGACAAATAAAAAAATAGTATCTTGAATAAAATTTTAAAAAAACAAAACAAAACACCAAAACATGAAACACTCAGTATCTAATCCTCTGCGGCATCAGTTGCCAGATTTTAAATGTGTTGGCTTTAGTGAGCTGATTTCGAGATGGGCTTGGTTGAGTTTGTTTGTAATTTACTTACTGCAGCTGAAGGGAAGAGTAGCCCAACGAGAAAGTTGGCGGTCCAGTTGGAACAACCAGCCACTGCCATTGCAGCTGGGCGGGGTCCTTGGCTGAAGAGTTCGGCCACGATAAACCAGGGAATGGGGCCCGGGCCAATTTCAAAGAAGGCCACAAAAACCAAGATAGCCCCAATACAAACAAAGCTCATCCAATTATAGTCATCCTAAATGAGGAAGGAACAAAGAAAGTTAGTAGTAAAGACAGCTCAGCCGGGATAGGATCTAGCCTCCCAGAGATGAGGACTGACGGATAATGAAAAGCTCCCTCTGTCCTGGGGTACAATGGAGTTATTTGACTTAAGACTCAAAAGGCTGGGTTTTTGATTCCTAGCCTTGTGCTCACATGTGTTATTCTGCACTAGGATCATTTCATCACCCGTAAAATGGGAAAAACTATCTCAACATTACATGAAGAATTAAATTACAAGCCTGTGTTCTGTAGAATGTATATATAGAATAATAGCAGTTTCATTACACATCTCTGATGATTCACTTTTTGTAAAACACGTGACTTTATGGATCTCCGACCTCACCTTCCCACCCAATGTCAGAGTCACCTATAACCTTCTCTTCCCATCCCCTCCCTCTCCTTCACTCAAAGAGTACTCACCTTCAACAACAAGGAGATGGTCATCAAGATGGAACAAACAGCCATCCCTCCGAGGCCAATCATATGCAGAGTCCTCCTCCCTGCCCTTTCCACCAGAAACAGCTAAAAGAAGAACAGAATGTAAAATTTCTGCTTTCCCTTTCAGGAAAACACTGTTACCAACTACCTGAATCTGCCTTACCAACAGCAGGATACTTGTTATAGTCATACTTCCCTGTTTATTTACTTAAGATTTTATTTATTTATTTGAGAAAGAAAGAGGGAGAGAAACAGCATGAGACCAGAAAAGGAGAGGGAGAAGCAGGCTCCCTGCTGAGTTACATGGCCCATGCGGGACTTGATCCCAGGACTCTGGGATCAGGACCTCAGCCAAAGGCAGTCACTTAACCAACTGAGCCATGCAGGCACACCCACACTTCCCGTTTTAGTTCTGAGTTTAAAGCATCCTACAGAATCCCTTTAATACCTCCCTCTTTCTCACCTACTTCTAATTTGCTTGGAGTGAGTAAAGACTTTTATACCCATCATTCAACAGCTCTTCTTCCCCAGAGGAGAACGAGGTAACACAAAGGTTTATTGTTTAAATGATGGTAGGGAGGAGGGAGATGGCAGGACAAGAAACCCAGCTTTGAACCCAGCGTAAGAACGCCCCCTACCCCCGTCCCCAAACTTTCACACCATCCAACTTACAGAGACAACGGTGAAGATGGTATTAACCACACCCGCGCCAATGGTGGCATAGATGGGCTCCTTAACACCTGCGTCCTCGAAGATTCCTGTTGAATAATAGAAGACCTGATAGGAAACAAAAGATACAACTGTGAAACCGCAGCTGTGCACAGCAGTTAAAAAAACCCTCAGAAAAATAAACTCCGAGTCCCAGGAGGTTAAGGAGTCCTTTCTGGGCTTTTTGGTTCACTCAGTGTCTTTTCTACAAAGAAATCGTCTTCTATATCTTATCCCTCTTCTCTTCTTGGTTCTCAATTCTAGCTACTTGTTTCCATTTTCTTCTTCAATGTTTACTCCTCTTGCTCACTGAAGTCTCCTCCTTAATAACTATTGGTTAAGCTTTTTTGGTTTGTTTTAAAGGCTTTTTTGTTTTTTTTTTTAAATAACCTCTACACCCAACATGGCATTGGAAATCAAGACCCCGAGATCAAAAGTCGCATGATCTTCCGACAAAGCCAGCCATAGCAAGTTCCTCAATTTAGCTTCTTCAATGGACAATTCCTCTAACCCTTGAACCCTTGAACAGTGACCGGCACACAGATATCCTATTCTGACAGCGAAGCAACTGGAAATAACCTCAGCCTGCTCGTGAAAATAGAAACAGAACCTCAGCTGACCCCTAACCCTAGGTCCTTTCCAAGTGTTTGAGGAAATGACACCAGCTATCATTTTAATTTAACATTTACTTAGTATTAAGTAAGCTACAGTTTATACTATTGTTTATTATTTGTTGGTCAGCCTGCTGAAATGTAGGGTTGCTACAGCTACCATAGTTAATTTTGAGATGTCCAAATACTGAACTCAGACCTCCAGGGAACAAGGGAACAGGATCTAGATCGGCTAAGGTTCAGTCTTTCAGGTTTGGGTCAGGAGTTTACAATTTCATCTGGAGTGTTTGCCCCTTACACCCGTATTGTCATCAGACTTTGTGATGAACACATGCGTTTACACTGGGACTTACCTTCTCAAGAACTCTTAAAACACCTACAACCTTGGAAACTATGTATATTCATTATTTTTTTAAAGATTTTGGGCGCCTGGGTGGCTCAGTGGTTTAGGCCTCTGCCTTCGGCTCGGGTCATGATCTCAGGGTCCTGGGATCGAGGCCCGCATCGGGCTCTCTGCTCAGCAGTGAGCCTGCTTCCCCCTCTCTCTGCCTGCCTCTCTGCCTCTCTGCCTACTTGTGATCTCTCTCTCTCTGTCAAATGAATAAATAAAATCTAAAAAAAAAAAAAGATTTTATTTATTTATTTGACAAAAACATAGCAAAAGAAGGAACACTCCCCGTTCGTGTTGTGTCAAACTTAAAAAAATCAAAATAAAAATCTTAAAAAAAAAAAGATTTTTTATTTTTAAGTAATCCCTATACCCAAAGCCCCAAGATCAAGAGTCACACACTCTATCGAGTGAGTCAGCCAGGCGCCCCCAGTGATTTTTATTTTTTATTTATTTTTTTATTAAGATTTTATTTATTTGACAGAGAGAAGAGATCACAAGTAGGCAGAGAGGCAGGAAGAGAGAGGAGGAAGCAGGCTCCCTGTTGAGCAGAGAGCCAGATGCAGGGCTCCATTCCAGGACCCTGAAATCATGACCTGAGCCGAAGGCAGAGGCTTAACCTACTGAGCCACCCAGGCGCCCTGGCCACAGTGATTTTTAAAAATGACAAAATTTGAAACTGGGATCCATCAAATCACCTCAAGAGGTTTTTTAAAAACTACTTTTTCTCCCAGTTTCTGATGTAACAGCCTCTAATCCTTCATGAAAAGCACTGCTATTTCAAATACAAGTAACCTTCTTGTATGTGAGGGAGAAAAGGCCAAGGACCAACTTGCTATTTTGAGTATCAAGTAAGTGTGTTTTGCAAAATGCTTTGCTACAGAATGACCTAATCGTATTGATTGAAGAATGATGTGATGAGAAACCCTCTGGGCAGAATCAGAACAAGGCTGTGCTTCATACCCAAAAACACTATCTGCGAATGGCTAGAAGGTATGGGAGTATTCTCTTACCACTACTAGAACCCAAGAGCTAGAAGGTCCTTAGTTATCTGCAGAATTCAAGCTACCTGCCAAATGCCAGCTTCCACTTTGCCTCCCACTTTGAACTGAGTCACTATATTCAGAGAGAATAGTAAGGTCAGCTCTAAGTTCCTAGTGTGCCCCCAGATCTCTTGTATTTATTTCCTACTTATTCCCCAGGGCTTTACAGTGATTTTTTTTTTTAAAGACTGTAAAGTCCTGGAGAAAAGCCACAGAGGTAAATTCTTGTATCTGCTCCAGCTGCACGGCCTGCCTTATCACCGATGACATCAGATAGGATTGATCAGAGTAAAAGACAACTAGAAATAAAGAAGGAATGGTCAGAAAAGAGGATTAATTAAAAGTAGGTAAATGTTTTAAAAAAAGTTTGAAAGAGAACAGTATTAACAAGTTCCAACATATAGACAAGTTCCAAGACTAAAGGTGATGAATTTTTTGTTTTATTATTTACTTATTTTCCCACATGGAAAACATGTACTGCAGATAAAATTTTAAAGAAATAAAAACAGGGGCGTCTAACTGGAGCCCTCGGTAAGAGCATGGGACTCTTGATCTCGGGGCTGTGAGTTCTAGCCCCAGGGTAGGTGTAGGGATTATGTAAATAAACTTTAAAAAAAAAAAAAAAAGGGAAAAATAGAACAAGTCAAAACCTGGATAACCAACATTTTTGTAATGGCTGCTGTGTGCAAGAATCGTGGGGACTCTGTAGGTAGTAAGGAGGTGAGCAACCACCCTCGCTTTGCCCCTCCGGCAAGTGGAAGCATGTGTGGGACAGCCAGGGACAGAGCAGCTACTCACAGCATTGATTCCAGACAGCTGCTGGGACAGCTGGAGCATGATGGAAATCATGATGGGCTGCTGGTAGCTGTGCGATCGGAAGAGCTCCAACACGGTGGGCTGCTTCTCTTGCGCCATCCTCGAGCTCTCATCTTTCATCTCCTGGATGTCCTGACTCACGTCCTGGGTGCCCCACAATCGTTGGAGGACTGGTCAAACAGACAAAAGGATAAAGATAAGGTGCCATCTCGACTTCATTTCCCCTGTAACTCAGCTGGGAAGAAGTCACACTGGAATGAGCCCCAGATAATGGCTCATCTATTAGCATCCGTGCCCTAACCCTAACCTGCTTCTCACTTTACTCTTTAAGGGGTGCAAAGTTTCTGACTCCAGAGCAATCAGGAAAGTCTCCACTTGGGTCCAGAGGAGCAAGGAAAGGAGCGGACAAAACACAGATCCAATATCCTCATCCTAAAATAAAACACGACCCCAAAATTCCTACAGCGAAGATGTGAAGGATACTCACTCTCCTTAGCCCTCTCCTCTTCCCTTCTGTTGATGAGCAGAAATCTAGGACTCTCGGGGCAAAACGGAAGGGCTGCACTTTGCAGGACAGCTGGAATGATGGTGAAGCCCAAAAGCAGGGGCCAAAGGTCTTCCGTCCCCATGATGCCTTTCAGACCAAAGATCTAGAAACCAGATAAAGATGATACTTTATAAGGCTCATACCTTATATAACCCTCAAATCAATCAAAAAAAAAAAAAAAAATTCAGGGCGCCTGGGTGGCTCAGTCGGGTTATGTTATCTGCTAGTTGGTTCAGGTCATGATCCCAGGGTCATGGGATCGAGTCCCGCATGCGAGTGGGTTAAGTGTGCTTCTCCCTGCACCACTAGCCTTCCTCCCCGGCTCCTGTGAGCGCACTCATGCTCGATCTCTCCCTCTCACAAACTGAATTTTAAAAAAGATAAACTTAAAAAAAATTCAGAAAATCATCCATTCTCTTATCAAAGGAAAAGATAAATTCTGTTTCTTCTTTCTCTATGCTGCCTGCTTCTTTGGCTATCTGTGAGCTACGGTAATATGAACACCTGAAACTTACATACTCCAGAGATTCCTGAGAGCTTTATCTATGTCAACTCATTTTATGAGCCAAGAAACTAACACGTATTAGATAGGAGTTCTGGGGTACCTGAGCCACCAGGATTCCGATGACGATGCCCAGCTGGTTGAGAGTACCGAAAGCCCCCCGAAGGGCAGTCGGAGAGACCTCGCCAATGTACATGGGCACAAAACCTGTGCAGAGGCCGCAGAAGAGGCCAATAACTAACCGGCCCAGGATCAGCATTTCAACCGACTCGGCAATTTTGCAGAACCCCATAAGGCAGCCGCCAGCAACGGCCAGGAGGTTGACAATCAGCATTGAATTGCGCCTGAAAGGTTAACCGAAGACAGGAGAAGTCAGCAAATAGGCCCAGCGGGATCTTCTCTTTCCTTATCTCTCTACCCTCCTCCAGTCTGTTATTAGAACATTCTAGTTGAGATAAGATCAATGGTTCTTACACCTCTGTCCACAGAAAAACTCACCTAGAGAACTTGTTTGTTTAAGATTGTTTTAATCCCCAGTGGCAGCCAGGATTCTAGCAAGCACAAGGGCCAGTAGTTCTCTAAGTTGCCCACAAACTAACTGCATCAGCTAGGAATCTGCAAGAAATTAAAACTGTCCCACCCCACCTCAATTTACTAAATCATTAGGTCTGACTTTGGGACTAAGCCCAGCAACCTTGTTCCCAGAAGTCATCCAGGTGTTGCGTTTCGCTAAGGTCTGAGAACCACTGCCCTGGGCAATTCTGATGCAGCTGGTCCACAAACACACTCGAGCAATTTCTGGACCAGTGCTGCTCTTGTTATGCTTCTTACTAGATTTTGTTATAGCTGCTTAGGTGCCACCAACATATTAATGGAGACAGATTTTCGCAAGTTTTTCCATGCACAGAAAGCAGACCGCTTCAGCTCTCTGGCTCTCGGCTAGTCTATGGTGAGGCCATTTACAGTAAATACTGATAGCCAGTATAAAATAATACATCACTGCATCTATGTGTTAAGTGTGGGAGGCCAAACCACCGAAACAACTAGAGAAAGTCCGAAGTAAGAGCTTAACGCTGAAAATTATTGCGGACGCTTGAAGAGACTTCAGGGACTCTGCCCTTGGGTGGCCTGTTGGAATTCCCAGGGAATTCTCAAAACACTGGTACTTTTAAAAGCTCCCTGGGAGATCCTAAATGTGCGGCCAAAGGAGAGAAAAACGACTTTTCTCTGTTAAGAGAAAAGTTTTATCCCTCATCCTCACTTTTACATTTCTCTGCATTCCTTTCCTGGTTTCCCTACTTCCTCTATTAGGTTCTTTTGCTAATAATGATAAGAAAAAATCACCCAGTTATGGGAGGGCCACATTAAAATTTCAATGACTTTAGTAATCACATGGTGGCCTCAAAAAATACAAACACAACAAACCCCAAGTGTTATCAAATAAAATGGACTGCTTTAAGTTTTTATTAGATGTTGAATTCCATCTGTGTTTCCAGAATGTCTAATTAGCAAACGAAATGGTTTCTTCACCAATCATTACTGAACGTGTTCCACTAAGACATTTTACTAAGTCAGCAGAGAATGAGAAGATTCAATTTTCTTTTGGGGGGAAAAATGTCAGTTATTTGGCCATTATCCACATTTGCCATAGGCCAAGGATTATAAAGCGTTTCCTCCCAATCCTGCTTTGTAAACACCTGCATGAAACCCCAAATTTTCTAAGAAAAGCAAACAACTTCTGATCTTTTAAATCAAGTAGGTTTCTGGGAAATTCACAGCGTACTTTATTAGAGAGTACTGAATTAACTACAGCTGGATGCAAAGGCTAATCTCTTGATGGGCAGCAGAGCTGCAATCAGTCCTACTCATGCCAGCTGGCCTATCCTTTATTTGCCTCCATGGGAATCTGGGATGCTCGCATTCAAATGCATCATCACCTCCCCACCCTAATTCTCAATACCTGTTCTCAATGCAACCGGAAGAGCCCCCTTCCTTACACAGTTTCTGGTCAGTACCTGCCAAAGCGGTTAACAAAGAGTCCAACGGAGAAGGAGCCAATCATACCACCAACGGAAAAGATGGCCACAGACAAGGACCAGAGGGAAGTGAGTAACACTTCAGAGGGAGGGTCTTCCAACCTCTCCTCCAAGGTGTAATTGATGAAGTCCTTTATGATCTGCCAATTAAAATGATTGGACAGATAGGTTGTTATGGCTGAATAAGAAGGAGCAAATACTGGGGATCCTCCCCTCCTAAAAAACCAGCATTACAATCACTGGTAGATAATCAAGTAAATGGGCGGGGATGGAAGAGATCCAGACATTTTGGAGGTTCACGGTAGCTCTGAAAAGAACAATTTTGATTTGTCCTGAAAATCCCAGTAGGGAGCAGCATGATGTTCTGCGACTACCCCAGTCCTCCCCTAAGACCCTCCCACCCTCCTTGTAACTAAGCCCTGAGGGATAATAAAGGAACTTTATCCTGACAGGGTGAGAAGAGGAATGGATTACAGTCAAGGGTATGGGGAGCAACTGAGCTTTTTCCTTTGACTAAGGATTCGGTTAGACTTCCCCACCAGTATTATTCTGCCTCTTCAGCCTTCACCAAGCTAGATACCAAGTTTGTCTGAAATTCTTCATTCTCGAAACCCTACTTAAAGGAATAATTTCCCTATTGCAAATTCTAGCTCTGGTCGCTTGGCACTCACCATCTCAGGAGCATTGATGACTCCAGTGTTGTAGCCGAACTGGAAAGAGCCTATTGTAGCAACGGAGATGGCAAAGATCAGAGGAGCGGTGACCTGGGGTGGGGGGGAAAGGGGAAGAAACAGTCCTTAAAGCTCTCCGCTGATGATTGTCTCTTAGTAATTCAGGAGATCTATTAGGAGCACTTGGCCTAGGAGTGGTATGGAAAGAACAAAAACTTAACGAAATTTAGGTAATGAATGGGGGAACACAAAAGCACAGGTTATACTTGAGAACTTCTCCGGAGATATAGACAACCACAAAAACTCGGGAAAAGTGGCAAGAAAAACTGGGAAGAAAGTTAAGAGGAATTGGGTTAACTGGTCTCAAACTATTAAAAAAAAAATTGCTCCATATAAAAACAAGCATAGAGGGACGCCTGGGTGGCTCAGTGGGTTAAGCCACTGCCTTCGGCTCAGGTCATGATCCTGGGGTCCTGGGATCGAGTCCCGCATCGGGCTCCTTGCTCGGCAGGGAGCCTGCTTCCTTCTCTCTCTCTGCCTGCCTCTCTGCCTGCTTGTGTGTACTCTCTCTCTCTGACAAATAAATAAAATCTTTAAAAAAAAAAAGTGTATTTCCTTATTAAAAAAAAAAACAAAACAAAAAAACAAAACAAAAAACAAGCATAGAACTTCAGGAAGAGAGGGAGCCTTGGGATTCCTAGAAATGGGATTCTTTTGGAAACAGCTACATCCAGTGCTGTCTGCTTCTGGACCCAAGATCCCACTGAAGCCCAGAGTGGTGGTGGTGCCTTTGCCACTGGGCTGTTCTTTTCGCTCTGGATAATGGAATCTACAAAATCTGCCCACAGTATCCTGATCTCATTTGAAATTCTTCCTGTTCACTTCGTTTAGTACTGCTACCCCCACCCAGTAGGGGGAGAGCACAAGCTCACTCCCAAACCAACTGACCTGAGATGGGCTGGGGAAGGGGGAGTCCTCTCTCACCTTGCTGGGAGTAATTCAAGCATGTGTTTATTTTAGATTTCCAACTCGATTTTTATGGTGGAATACAGCTTCTGCTGCATTCCCCTCACCAAATCCTTCCTTACCTTAACCACCCCCTCTTTATGTTAGAGTGGCCAGCCAGAAGTTTCAGTTCCCCAAGTTGACCTTGCACCCCAGACAGCCAGGCATTAAGTACCCAAGACGCCCTCGCACTCACACAGTTCTTTCTGCTTAGTCCATTTCTCGTCAATACTGACCTCTTCCTTTCTGCTTTGCTTCATCATTTGCTATTCTTGAGGACCTTTATTTTCTCCTCCCTTTTCACCCCTTTTCTTATCTCCCCTTATTTTCAAGTAAGCTCACCTTGGCGACTGATTTTTCTCCCAGCACATATACTACATACGTAACACAATAACACATTAATGTGCCGTGCACTCACAATCACAACACCAATAAGGACAACTAGAATTCTCCCCCCTTAGTATCCATGGACCGAGTAAGAGAATAGATGGCTGGACACCTGACCCAAGCCCTCAAACGAATCCCAGGTCCTTTCAAGTTTAATGCATCCAGAGCAATCTTCCTGCTGCCTCACTGAGACCCACACTTGTAATCAACACAGCCAAGCATCCTGAACACTCAATCATCTCACCCCCACATCCTTAATATCATGTGACTATGCTAAAACCAAGCCAAAGCAACAAAACCCCTGAGAAACACACAACTTCTCCAGGTGACTTTCCCTGCGACAGGAAGGTGAGTGGGACTAGGATTAAGTCCTTCAGACGCTGTGACATCCAAAGAGAACAGACAGAACCACAGCATCACAGGCTGGAGAAAAAATGAAAAGGCCTGAAGATGGCTAGATGGCTACATGACTCGTAATAAAACAGAGCACAGCCATCTCCGTTAATGCCGGCCTTTCTGAGTGTACCCCCAAAACGAGCAAAGATAATTGGTAATTATATTAATCTTACCTTCTGGGTCCCCATGGCCTTAATTTAATTCTTTTCCAATCTTCAACAAAGATCTAGGAGCGGGACCCCAGAGACACGTCTTCCAATCAACAAAACCTCTAGAATGCCCTCAGCAGCAAGCTTTCCTCTCAAAGACTAACTGCGACGCACGATCCCACCCTCACTCTCACCGTTACAGCGAGGCAGGGACGGATTTATAATCTCCGCAAAGGGTGGAGCCTGCAAGTAAGACAAGCCCCCCTTCCCTCCACCCCCGTTACAGATCCCGTGACCTAGCGGAATTTTGTGACCTCAAACTCTGCCCCCGCCCTAGGCAAGGGCTCCCTCCCTCCCCACCCGGTTTTAAAACCACAGCCGACACCCGCCCCGTGCCAGGGTTTTTTTTTTTTTTTTTTTTTTTTTTTAAACTCGTCTTTCTTCCCTCTTCTAATAGCGATAATCTCTTAGTTTCAAAGACAAAATGCTACCAGAAAAGCCTGAAGGGGGGGGCAAATTCACTTCAATTTTTGCTCTCACATCTGCTGGGAATAAAGTCCATCTAAAGAGATGAAACCAAATGCTACTTATATAAGATAAAGTCGACTGGGTGCTACTGTCTGAGAGTTCAGGTTGTTTGGAGTGTAAGCAGATAGATTCACCATGCTATGAATTTATCACCTCCTTTTTGATTATAGGCTGGGTCTACCATCTTAAAGGGGAAGAAAGGGCAGCCTGGAGAAGAAAAGCTAGCAAGGGAAGAACTGGGCCAGTTTTTGGCTCTCTTTGTCCTCTGATTAGCACAATCTCTCCTGGGAGGAAGAAAACCTGAGTATCTGGGAGCCAGACCACCTCTCCTGGGTTGAAGGAACAAGAGAATCAACTGCTTATGGGATACCATTCAAACTCCTTAAGATGGCATTTACCCTACCACTTACTCTGAATCCTACCCATTCTGAGATGTTGTGCCTCTAGCCTCAGGTTTCTAGCATCTAGAGATGGAAAGATGACCACATTCAGCGAAACAGGTGTTTGTTGTGTGCACACTGCACGTCAGGTACTCTCCAAGAGCTTGAGGATTCATCAGTATGTAGAACAAAAAAGGTCCTAGCTTTTAAGGAATTTATAGTATTTCCCTTCTTATTCTGTTAGGAGTTGGTTGGACAGCCAGGTAGTCAGGGTCAGGGTCCCCAACAAGAAAATACGGAGTCAGGACAGTTCAAATGAAGTGACATCTTATTCTGCAGCTTGGACAGGAGTACACTATTTTGCTTTGCAGCATTTGCAGAGATGACTTCTTCATTTTTTTGACTTACTCTTTTTTTCCATTTTATTTTATTTTATTTCTTTCCATTGTTCCAAAATTCATTGTTTATGTACCACTTCCAGTGCTCCACGCAATACGTGCCCTCCTGCCCTCCATAATATCCACCACCAGGCTCATTCACCCCCCCCCCCCCCCCAAACCCTGTTTGCGTCTCATAGTCCACAGTTTCTCATGCTTCATCTCCCCCTCCGATTTTCCCCATCTCACTTCTCTCTGTCTCCCAAGGTGCAAAACATACTAAAATAAGACAATTAACCACAAAGCACTGGTCTCTAAAACAGGAAAGGGGAAGCAAAGACATAAGCCCCCAGACGTCTGCAAAAAGACCAACAGCATAGAGACATTAACCTAACAGGTAGACAGATACATAACCGAAGCCCTAATCCGCAGGACTCAGCACACCCTGATTGTTTAAGATAATTCCACAAAAGAGCTCACAAAACCCCCTAAATTTAGAAAGTCCAGGGGCAACCCACCCCAGGCGCCCCCCTCCCCAGAGCTTTATATGCTCTTGCTCTTGCTTTGCTACCCACGGGTCTTCATCTTTGAAAGAGCACGACCAAGGACCTCAGGCACTAAGGCGACAGAAATCCTCTAACTCACTTCTACTTAACAAAATAAAAAAGGGACAAGCCCACCTGATTTTTACACAACTAGAGAGAATAATCAATAGCCTGTTGATTAATGACTGTGAATTTCTTGAAAGAAGTGTGAGATAAGTATTTGATTACTCAGTCATACAAGAAAATTGAGCAAGATGAGTAGAAAAAACAGGGAAAATGTGAACGGAGGAAGATGAAGGATAATGAAAGAAGAGAGGGAGGAGGCCCAGGGTGTGAGTAAACAAAGAAAACAATTTAGTTCTGATTAAAGATTTGGGTGAGAGATAGTATCAAGGCTTTGAAGGGGCGGGGGTGGGGGGTGGGGGGCGGGGAATGAAGACTCTTGGGAGGGGTGGGGCGTGGGAATATCAATGGTCAATTTCCTAATGCCGGTTAATTTGTAGCCTAGCAACAACCTCACTCTGTGGAAGAGGGTGACCAAGGACAGAGCACAGTAATTGGACCCAATTTTCCTAGTTGGTAAACTGGTGTTAGTATATCTTTCTTTTAGGTTTTGATTGAGGGCCTAGAATTCAAACTGATGCTACAGGACCTGAAACAAACCAGATTATGTTTTCTCTCTCTAAAAAAAAAAAAAGTAATAATAATTCTAAATTGTTAGCTGAGAGAACCAAGTATAAGTGAAACGTGACATCCAAGAAAACCTTCCCTGAGGTCACACCTCCCCTCCCCCACCTCATTCCTGTCCTTCCAGGAAACACTGAGCCTAGAGGCCCCTTTAGTTACCACAGCAACTGAATTTAGCAGCCAAAGGACAAAGAATATCCTGTATGGCAGTGAGGTCCTATAGAAATATAATCCAAGCTATTTATGTAATATAAAATTTGCTAGTAGCCACATTAAAATTTTTAAAAGAAACAGGAGAGGTTAATTTAAGTAACTATTTTATTTGACCCACTATAACCCAAATAATATCATTTTAGTATGACATCAGTATAACAATTATTACTAAGGTAGTTTACTACCCCCCCAACTATGTCTTTGAAATTCGGTGTATATTTCACGTTTATAACACATCTCCATTTTAGACTCTTAAATTTTCTACAGTTAAATACAGCATCAAAACAACAAAGCTGTGTTTGATGGGAAAATATTTTAAATCGCTCCGATATTAAATTAATAAAAATCAACAATTCAGCTTCTCAGTTGTACTAGTCACATGTAAGTACTCAGTAGACCCAAGAGGCTCACGGCTGAACCTTGCAGCTTAGAGTTAAGAGGACGATGATGCTCTGTTTTCCTCTGGTCTTTTCTACGTTTTTCTTATCTTGGCTTTTATTTATTATTTGTGTCACAGTGTCATTCTTGGCTCTAAATCATTTATCTTTTCTTCCTCCCTCTTCCTAAGCTTTGTATAATTAGTCTTTAATGTTTCGCAAGAGCAAACTGCACGGGTAAAAGTACAAAGTCGGTCTGTGTTACCTCCTTCATTTGCTCAAAGTGGGCTCCAAGGTAATTCCAGAGCACAGTGTTTGCCCCAGTAATTATTTGCCCAATGGTTAACAAAAGAATAAATGGAATTGTGAAGGCGCAGAATTTATGTGTCCCAAATTAATTTGTGTAAAACAGCTACAGAGAAAGACAACACTGAAGGTTAAGTTTTAGATGTGTGAATTCTGTACAATATTTTCTTCTTGGTAAAAAAGCAGGGAGGGTGAAAGGGAGACAGATCTGAAATATATTTTGTCTGGCTAACTCAGTCTGAGAAAATTACCTTTAAGAAAGTTAAGCAAGTTAATAGGGACAGAGAGCATTCTTCTAGCAATATATGTACTTTTAAAAGTTATAACTGGAATTCAACGGAATCTCGAGCATCTAAAAGCGTGCTGAATGTATTAAGATAAATGCTTCTTGAGTAAGAGGGATCTAAGAAACTGCTGACCAGAAATCAGCTTAGCCACAGAGACGCCCCAGTTAAGCAATCCTCCCCCTGGGCAACAGATAACAGTTGCTCAATGCAACTGTGTGTTGATGTTTTGGGGAGATGGGCTGTTTGATTGGGGTCTTCGATGCACTTAGAATCCCAGCTCCAATCATTCAGGAGTTACAACTCTGGTGATTAATCTGGTGATTATGCTAGGTACAGGCCAGCAAGGTAAATGTCCTAAAATGTATCTTGGGATCATTTGATTCCTGTGAGGTGTTCTTCCTTCTTTACTGAAAACAACATAAGAAATGTGGCATTATATTTAAAAATGGAATAGATTGGGAATAAACGTTATGAAATTCCCACCTAATAGTTTAATATAGGTCTGCTAAGAAGAAAAGTAATGAATGAAAAATGCTTTGAAATCTCTTAGGTCCAAACACAGGTATCAGCAGACCATACATCTGAATCCTAGCTTCTTGCTGCTCTGTGGGAGGATGTCTGCTACTGTGATAACTGAGGAAGAAAACAAACAAATCAAAAAAATCCTTAAGTCAAGGAATCCAGGACTTTAAACAGGGAGAGTTAAAGACAGAGAAAGCCACCTCTTTCATAGAACAGCGTACTGGCATTTCAAGGCGGGCAAAAAAAAGCTAATGCCTAAAGATCGCCAGAGTTAATTCTATTCTTTGCTTGCATTTGTAATTTCCCCCTAAAGAACAACTTTTTTTGCATGTTATTTACTAATCTTCCTCTAATAGGCTAGGTGTAGTCAAAATTCATTTTGAATATGAAAACAACAGTGTAAAGAAAGAAAAAATTTGAGAAATGTTGATTTTCCTGTCTACACTGGGTTTCAGCCATTTGTCACTCCAGTTGATCCTGAAGCACCTAATCCGAGCTCTCAGACCTTTACCACTTTCTAAGGGGATCGCTCCTCTTCCAATTTCCTTCAAAAATCAGTCTATCCTGTACCAGTGCTAGATGAATTGCACTAAATCAAAATCATCATCATATCATTCTCCTATTCAAATGTCTTCAGTGTTACAGAATAAAGTCTAGATCAGTGCTGTCCAACAGAAACATAATGTGAACTATATAAAAAATTTAAAATTTTCCTGTAGTCACATTTAAAAAGAGTAAAAACAAATGGTGCATTTCAATATTATATTTTATCTAACCTAATATATACCAAATATTGTAATTTTAACCTATAGATAATAAAGAAATTATTAATGAGATATTTCTATCTCTCTTTTATTTTGTACTAGATCTTAAAAATTCAATCTTTTTTATACTTACAGCACACCTTAATTGGGACACTAAATTTTCAACAATTAAGGTGAAATGATTAAATGCTT